TCTCGTTATTGAATGTAAAGTGGCCAACCAGAGAGTTGGCCGAATCCTCATAGATACCGGGAGCTCCTCGGATCTCATCAGCAGCAAATGTCTGTCAAAACTGAAATATCAGACGGACTGCATACATCCGGCCTCCCACCCTTTAATAGGGTTTGGAGGAGGAGTCGTCCACCCACTGGGACGAGTAGATTTACCCATTCGCCTGGGCGAAAAAGGGGAAGGACGACACATGGTAGTCCGGTTCCTAGTAGTAGAGGAACTCTCGGCCTACAACATGATTCTGGGTCGACCAACCCTGAATAATTCCAAGGCTTTTATAATCCCGTCTCTTATGCTGCTTAAGTTTGAGAGGGATAATGGAACAGTCGGCTCCCTAAGGGGAGATCAGAGGATGGCCCGAGAGTGCTATCTCTTGGATGTCAAGCCCACTGTTATGGCCACTGGGTCAAGTGGAGAAAAAACAGACCTTGACAATGTCAAGGAGAGTGCGCCTGTTCAAGAAACAGGCGACAAAAAGAGAAAGGCGTCCCAGACAGAGTCCGCAAGAAAAGCAAGAAAATAACAATCATTGGCAGAGGAGCGGCCGGATGAGTTCCGCCCTCAGCCGGCTGGTGAGCATGCGGACCTGATCTTAGACGACTCACGTCCTGACCGAACAGTCATCCGCCTCCTCCGATACTCCTCGAACTGTTTTTTGGGAAGTAATGGAGAAGAGAAGCATCGAGGAAAACCCTATTGGAATCCTAGACAGAAGCTCAACCTGGATGGATTCAATCAGGGCATATCTGACAAACGGTACACTGCCGGATGATCCTCAACAGACGGCAGCACTGAAAAAACGAGCCTCCTGTTTTGAAATGATACAGGGAGAACTTCACAAGAGGGGGTACCTTCAACCCTTCTTAAAGTGTGTTACTCCTGAAAAGGGACGAGAGATACTAGATGATCTTCACTCTGGTTACTGTGCTTCTCATATAGGTGGTAGGATGCTTGCTCAAAGGGCAAGGCGGCAGGGCTACTTTTGGCCTACTTTGGAAGCAGATGCAATGGAGATGGTGAAAAAATGTGACAAGTGCCAAAGGTTTGGCAAATTAATTCACCGTCCGGCTACTGACCTCACTACCATTCACAGCCCACTACCGTTTGCTAAGTGGGGCATGGACATTCTGGGTCCATATACGCCTGCTACAGGCGGCAGAAGGTATATACTTGTTGCCGTTGACTACTTCACTAAATGGGTAGAGGCGGAGGCTGTAAAGGGAATCAAGACGAAAGATGTAATTTCATTCATTTGGAAAAATGTCATCACTCGGTTCGGGGTTCCCATGTCTATGGTTTTTGATAATGGTCCCCAATTTGAGACGCCTGTTCTCAAAAGCTGGTTGGGAGACCAAGGAATTGCAAATTACTTTGCATCTGTCGGCCGTCCACAAGCAAACGACCAGGTAGAAGCCTTTAATAAAATCATCTCAGACGGTCTCAAGAAAAAGATTGAACGAGCAGGCGGCCTATGGGCGGATGAACTACCACATGTTCTCTGGGCCATTAGGACGACTGAAAAAGGGGCGACTGGAGAAACTCCATTCCTCCTAACTTATGGTGCGGAAGCTGTTCTTCCAATAGAACACTACGAGCCGACTCTTCGAGTAATGCTATATGACGAAGAGGCAAACTGGGAAGCCATGCGCCTGGCATTAGACTCACTTCCTGAAAAGAGGGGCAATGCTGTTTTGCGCCATGAGATCTATCGCCTGAGAATGACTAGATCATACAACAAAAAAGTACACAGGCGTCCACTCAAAGTAGGGGACTTTGTACTTAGAAAAATGGAAGCAGTTGGTAGGGCTAATGAGTCTGGCAAACTAACTCCCAACTGGGAAGGACCCTACCGAATCTATGAGGAAGTCAGGGACGGTACCTACCGTCTGGAAACACCAGACGGACAACCGTTGCCTCGAACTTGGAATGTAGATAACCTTAAAAAATATTTCTTCTGAATGATGTAGAGTAAAGAGCTACTTAATAAAGTTTGCACTTACTATTCAATTTTGTATTACGAGGGGCATGCCGTCTGTACCTTTACAGTCGGCTACTCTCCATTGAGTTTTTTCACTCTATCTTCAGAGGGGCATGCCGTCTGTACCTTTACAGTCGGCTACTCTCCATTGAGTTTTTCACTCTATCTACAGAGGGGCATGCCGTCTGTTCCTTTACAGTCGGCTACTCTCCATTGAGTATTTTACTCACAATACTTAGCTAAAAAGATTAGGGCCTGGCCGACCCTGTGCCTAACAGGCGGCTACCCTTCTTTTACTTAGCACCTACGTTCACCAAGAACTTACCAAGGCCACCGGCCGAATGATCAGACCAGGCGCCAAGCCACCTGATCAAATCTACAAAACTAATACGACCTGTCCCAACATCATAGCAGGCGTCCGACGGCATCCCTCCGGATGAAATTCGTCGCAGAGAGCAGCTCCCTTTTGGGTGGAACATTGTTCTATAAACTAATTACACGGCACCTATACGACTGTCCCCAAGGGCAACCACGTAGCCGTTTTTGAGACAAGGATAACTCTATCACTAACCAAACCAGTGGTAGCAGTTGACATCCGAGTCAGATGACCGCCTGTATTACTTGGGATAAATGCAGGGGGTACCTATTGAGTTAATAGCCAACAAACATTGGCGAATCAAGGGGTCTAGCCGGCCTACGCCGCCTGGTACCTCTACTACTCAATCTAGATTGTGACGAAGACTAAGTAACTCCTATGTTAACTTAATAGTCACTCAAACTTAGTATGGAGCCTAAAAGGTATGAGTCGTCCGCCTGTTTTTAATAAACAGGGGCTCTCAACCACTACTCTTGCTAGGTTAACAAATTACGAGTTAAAAGACAACATTGGCAATAAAGGGAAACAACCGGTACTCGCCGCTTGTTATCCTACTTAATTCCTTGGCGACTAGGTAATACTATTTACTTGGTCAGACCGATTGAATAAATAGTTCGAATACCGATTGAATAAATGGCCGACTGATCGTCTATCCTGGAAACAGACAACCAGTCGTCCAGGGGCATAGGCGGCGTACTTACTATTTGTACCTGTCTGCAACGTTCGGCCATGTACAACAGTCGGTCTAGTGAACAATGGGATATTAGATATGGAATACTTAGACAAATTTGAATCAAAACAAAAATTTGATTAAAAATAAGCCGGTCATTAAAGACCAGCAAAATATTCAAAACCCCGGCCCCCTGGCCGGGTAAATACAAAGCAAACGGCACGCAGGCCGTGGATAAAATACTTAAAGCTTAAGAAGGGGGCAGTTCAGTATTAGCAGCTGCCGCCTGGTCAGCACTCTTCTTGCTGGACTCGGCTTCAGCTGCACCCTCTTTTGATGCCTTACCCCCAAGTGGCACAAGCGCCACAACCGGCTCTTCCTCCTCCTCCAACGTATCTCCCAACGCCTCTTCTTCAGCAGCCGCCAGGATCTCTTGATTATATGTTTCCGAACACTGGCGATACGTTCTTTCCCATGAGGCAAAGTCGGCTTGTCAGAACAGGCGGTAGGCAGAAAAGGTCCGAAATGTCAGAGCAAGTTCAGGGGTCCGAATGTTCTCGCAAAGTTCTCAAATGTGAAAATGACCGAAGTCAGCACTTCCTTTTATAGGCAAAGTGAGAAGGCGAAGGGTCGCTTCCAAATTCAAAACTTGGGCGGGAAAATCTCTCGGCCGTTTGCAAGGTGACACCTGTAGCAGGCCGTCGCCTGTCACCGTGCGACACCTGTCACAGGCGACACGTGACCAGTCACGTGCCACCTGTGAGGGGCAAATGATTAGGGGATTTTTATCCACCAATCACCGTCTGACAAGTGGACCAACCAGGTTCCGCCACGTGTCCTTCACGTAGGCCAATAGGAGCCTGCCACGTGTCAATCACAGATACGTCCTCTACGGACCAATCGAGGCACGCCACGTGTCCACCCATGCCAAATGGGAAAACCGGCCAACAAGGCCCAATCCTGTCTAGAGGCCCGGTCAGCCCTAGGTTTACCCTAAACCTAGAGAGTGGCACGCTTCTCAAGACTATAAATACTTAATTAATCCTCATTAATTAAGGAATCAAGAAATCAAGAGAACATCAGGCAATTGAGAGGCAATTGATCAAGCAATTAATCTCACCTGAAGAACAGAGAAGAACATAAACATTACGGAACACTAATAACCGGCTAATCTCGCTAACAAAGCAGATTACCAACATTAAACACTCTCACCTAGAGAGGTCTTATTACTTTAATTTCCGTATTAATTACTCCTTAATCAGGTACTAACTTGACCGTTGGAGGCGGAGCTCTCAGGAGTCTCCGTTATTTTGCAGGTACAGGCGTCCGGTTCCAGTCTCGGAATTGTAACTCTCCCGCAGGACATCAGAAAACCCCGAAACAAGTACTACATTCGTTTCTTTTTAGTTAATACATATTCCTTTTTAGGAAGTTTTTTTTAGTGACCTGTTTCCTATTTTGATAACTTTTTTACCTTGTATTTACAACCTACCCCACTTGCTTTTTCATTCTCTCTCCTCTTCTAATATATGTGCCTAAATTAAACGCGTCAACTAAATAGAAACGGAGAAGTATTAAAAAAACTTAAAACCACCAAAACTAAAAAAAAATTTAGAAAGTATTAAAAAACTTTAAACCACCCAAAGCAAAACAAAACCAAACATAAGAAGTTCCTTTGTTTTGAAGAGAATTATTTGGACAAAAAAAATCACAAATAGCACGAGAGAATAGATAGTAGCATAGAATGCAAGTGATAGACACCCTGTTACACTTTAGCTATTGGCTCAATGTAGCCTTTACTTTTTGTTATTAAAACGACTTAACCCAAACCCACTCCCACTCTCTCCCCTATTTTCCGTACGTGTCACTGTCACATCATTACACGTCATCCCCATCCCACCACTTTGCTTTTTTAAGACACCAACACCCCCTTTCTTTTTCTCTGTTTTCCCTCTCTTTAATCACATTCTCCTCCTTTTTACCCATTCCTAGGGTTTCATTTCATCATTTGGTACAAGCAAACACCAAGTGCTGCACAATCGAGTCACTGACTCAGTGAGTGAGTGAGAGAAAAAACAGGGAGGATAATGGGTTCGATACCCGACCCGGGCGAGCCAGCTCAGTATAACTCGCCTAGTTTTGAGGATTTCCAGAAACAGACGTCGTTGATGACGTCATGTACTCTGCTATGGAAGGAGCTCTCAGATCACTTCAACACCCTTGAAGAAGACATTCGTCGCAAATCCGAGGCATTGAAGAGGAAAATTCGAACCCTAGATGATCAAACCAAGCAATCTCTTGAGGTGCTTAAGAAGAGGGAAGTTACCATTGAAGGTTCTGTTGAGATCGCAATTGGTCGAGCTGAGGAATCCAAGAAGGTCGCATTGAGTCTCGGAGTTGAGGAGAGAGAAAATGAGAATAATGTTTTGATTGGGGAGGTTGATGATGGTGAAGGGTTGTTGATGAAATTGAAGGGCTTTTGTATTTGGATGGATTATGATGGGTTTTGGCGGTTTGTTACTGTCAGGAAGAAGGAGCTTGATTTGCTTCGAGCTAAGATTCCTCTAGCTTTGGCTGATTGTGTGGATCCGCCTAAATTCGTTCTCGAGGCAATTTCCGAGGTTTTTCCGGTGGATAAGAGGGCGGAGAAGATTGAAAGAGTGAATGATTTGGGTTGGGCTTGTGTTCTCTTGTTGGAATCTCTTATACCTGTTGTGGTTGATCCCGTGGTCGGGAAAGATCGTTTAATTGTGACTCCTAGTGTGAAGAAGAAGGCGGAGGGTATTGCCGAGACTTGGAAGCGTAGCTTGGAGGAGCGCGGCGGGATCGAGAATGTTAAGACCCCTGATGTGCATACATTTCTGCAGCATTTGGTTACTTTTGGTATTGTAAAGAAGCAGGATGTTGGTCTGTATCGTAAGCTTGTTGTTGGGTCTGCTTGGAGGAAGCAGATGCCTAAGCTTGCTGTTTCTCTTGGCTTAGGTGATAACATGCCTGGTAAGAAATACTTATATCTTTGTTTTATTGGTATTACAATTATACAAGTTTGTTTATTTGGTGTTGAATTTTATTATATGTTTATGTCAAGGTTATTTTTTTAAAGAGGAATTTATGTTGCATTAACATTCTTGGGAGACTAATGAAATTTGTCTGTATATGAAATGCACATGGTTTTGATTTATTTTATAATCCTTTTTGAGGAATAATATTGTTTCTCTTAAGGTTTTGTGCAGATAATTTGGATTTGGTTGCATGTATGAGCTACATTATTTATGGATCCAAGGATTTGTAGTTTTATGTCATTAATTGTGTTTAATTTAAGTTGATTTAGGTTTCGAGGCATAATAAGATCTAGAAGGGTGTAGTAAGCTGTACTTTTTTATTGTATTGAAAAATTAAGATAAAGGAGGATTTGATTACACTATGTCCTTTGGCCACCCATACATGAGACGGACGGGTTTTGGGGGGTGGTGGGGGGTGGGGGGGAAGGAAGGGCGGAGGAGGAAATTTTCAAGGAGTGCCCAATTGCCCATAGTGGAGAAGGTGTTGTATAGATGTATAATAATTCTTTTCCCTCCAACGCTCCAAATGATAAGCTGATTGTGTGTGTTCTTGCAATGGAAGATAAAGTCGGGACTTCAAATTCAGGTTGTAAAGAAGTTTAAAGTATACAAGATATGATATGTGGGATTTATTGAATAATTTGTGGTTTTTTTATGTAGTGCTTTCTCTTTAATTTGAGGCTGCATTTACTAAAGATTTGAGTGGAATGAATTGTTAATAATCTGAGGGTGTGGTAGTGATGAATTCCCTTACACCAAATTTTCAGAGTGTTGGAAGGATGTAAATAGATATATGAACTCACAAATCTATGATATATTAGATTATAATTTTTATCTTTTCTTCGTTTTCCTCCCTGTAAACACATGTTCAAGATGCTCTGCGGACTTGATTTCCTCTGTAGTAGGTCAATATTTGTGCAACATTTTACCTATAAACTCCCCTGGAAAATGCTAATTCTGAAGTACTTGACAAAATACATCTTGAGCAACAAAATTAGGCCCAGTGTTGAATTTACTAGAATATGCGTGTGTTTCTAGCATTCTCTATCTTAGAAGCTAGCATGTGAGAATTTTATTGACGCCACACTGCATATTTATCCCATCCTTGTACTCCAAAAGTTTATTAATCAAAGCCAGTTAAAAATTTAGTTTGTTGCTTTTCATCAACCACATGTTAATCTTTGAGAAGAACCAAAAATGAGATGGTAGGCTTTCCATCCCTGCCTGTTTTTGCTGGGCATGTTCCTGAAAATAAAAATTCTATTGATTCTTCGACGTGCCTCCAAAAATGAAGATATAAGTCTCTTCTATTAATATTTTTCTCTCTGTTTTGTATAGTTAGCCTCATTTTGTACTTTTCTATAGGATAGCAACATCATTTGCTTGAAAGAAAAACTGTTGTGATATTTTCAGAGAAAAGAAAGTGATTTGGCAAGGATGGTATAGATTATAGAAGGGCAATTTTTCCCCACAGAATGCTCGAAGTACAATCTCTTGGCTGAATCCAAATGCCACTTTCTCTTGGCAATCTTTCAATCATACTCTTACATTTATTTTGCGTTTTCGGAAGCATATAGTTGTATCCTTGTAACAAATGCTTTTTTAAAGAGAGTTCTGCCTTCACTTTATGCCGGTGTGGCAACGGGGGGTTATCAGCTATTAATAAAATGCATATCAATCTTGCCTTAATTGGCCAGTTGGTTGGTGGTTACACATTGTTGTATGGTAATGTTTTCGTCCTTTACTACCTTTTCTTGTATCCTAGTGCTTCATAAACTCATAGAAAAGCTGGAGTAAAATCTCCCCAATATGTTTCCGAGCTTCTAAACTGTGTGTAACATTTGCGGTCAACCAGAGAGAGAGAGAGGATCTCAGAATAGAAAAGGTCACATAAATCTAGCAGCATTACCTTTCCTAATTCCTTTTCTAGATCCCCATCTTCATTAGTATTTATGTACTATAATAGGTTGTTTTAAGACGTTTGCATCCCTTTTGTTTTTGGAAATGCCATTTTTATTTCCATTTTACACGCAGGGAAGAACTATAGCTTTTATTGCCTGGACTCTGGTGTGTTTTGCTTCTAGTCTATAGAGATTGCTTTCTGCTTTCTTTTTCATAATAAATTGTAACCGCCTTGGTCTGTTAGTTAGATGATACAAATTTTTATTATTTTCAGAGATGATTGAAGAATTAATAAGCAGGGGACAACAAGTTGATGCTGTTCATTTTACCTTTGTAGTTGGCCTTGTAGATAAGTTTCCACCTGTCCCATTACTGAAGTCATTCCTCAAAGATGCAAAAAAAGCTGCTGCTGCAATTTTAGAGGACCCAAATCATGGTGGACGTGCTGCGGTATATCTTTATTTTCCCGCTGATAATTTCTTGTTTAGCTTTTTATATTTTGTACTTCATTACTTCCATTTATCTTTTATTTTTAAGGACCATTCCAAGATCATTAATAAATTTCTACTCCCTCTTCCTCCTAAGTTTTCCATGTTAGAATTTGGCTACATTTTTTATTTTTTGGTTGGGGGGAGTTGATGAGACCTAAAATTGGGGAACCAAATGTAGTGAATGTCAAAGTTAGGTAGTGGTCCCTTGTGGTTATTTTCAGCACGGGGCAAAAAAGGGAGTATGTGTCCCTGTTCAACACCCCCCCCCCAACCCCCCAACCTCTCGTCCTCTCCACAAAAGAAAAAAAAAACCCTTCTCATATTGTCTCTTTTACTAAGTTGGGATGCCTACTATTCATGAGTATGATTTGCTTCAGCTTTCTTTCCTTATTGCTTCTACACTTTAGTACTGTACTATGCTTCCTTCTATATAACAAGCTTTTAAATTATAATTGACACCCAAGAGAACTGAAAAAGGGACTTGGATTAGTGATTTATGTTTGGTAATGTTTTCCCTTTTTCTTGTACGCACATTCATGGCACACCCCTTTAGCAAGTTAGCTATATGCCCTCAACTTCTCAAGGTCGTGATTGCTCTTTTTGGAGCTTTATCTTAGAGGTTAGGCAGTTAGCCATTAATGGAAGCTATGTCCTTTGTCTGCAGTGCTTCACAGCAAAGTATTTTTCCTTGATGGTAGCTCTTTAATATTGCTTGCCATAAGGAATACTTTCTCTATCCTCTTGCCCAATGTAATAGTTTTCCATATCTTTGACAGTCTTGTTTATTGACCTAGATCATAGGAATTACAATCATTATGAAGTTGATTTAAACACAAGAAGTAGAAGTAGTTCTACTCCCCCCCCCCCTCCCCTCCCCTCCCCTCCCTAGCACACGTTCTGTTTTATGCCGTCAAGCTAATCGCTTTGAAACTTCTCGATTCATAATCATACGAGTCTCCTTTCTGTTAGCCAGTGGTTAGAGTTGTTCCTTTTCTTTGTTGCAGGGAATGTTTATGATCATTCCCTTAATATACTGTTCTCTATTTTGTGGTCAGGAGTGGGTATTTTTAAGGGTAGACTTGGAATGCTCTCTAAAGTGAAAACTGCATTAGTATGTTATACATGTGCTGACTAATTTGGAGTTTGTGTCTTGTAGCAACTAGCTAATCGGAAAGACCAGTCTGCTCTCCGTGCAGTACTCAAGTGCATCGAAGAATACAAGCTGGAAGATGAATTCCCCCCAGAGAACCTCAAGAAGAGGCTTGAGCAGTTGGAGAAGTTCAAAACTGACAAGAAGAAAACTGCATCAGTACCTGCAAATAAGAGAACCAGGGTCTGCAACAATGGTTATATGCCTCCAGCCAAAGCTGGTCGTTCAACAAATGCTTATGTATCATCATTTCCACCTGCTCCTGCATATGTCAGGTCTCCTTCGCACCCCCAGTACCCAGCTGGGGTTGCACCTTATCCTTATGATAGACCTGCACCTGCGATGTATGGAAGCAACAGCCCTCCATATCCTTACTCTTCAGAGGCTGCCCCTCCCCCTACTATGGCTGGTCCATACTCTGGAGCACCTATTAGTTACCCAGCATATGGCTACAGCAACGGGATGGCACCATCATATCCACAGGTTTACTACTGATAGGTGACTGGTCTTCGTTAACCATGAGACTGGTATGGTAACCACAATGACCACCTGATATTAAGAATGGTTTGTCTGTAATCACTAACCTTATAATGGTAGCGATGTGTGTTTATTACGAAATATTTTGTATTTTCTAATGTTAATCAAACTGATAGCTCTAGGTGTTGTGAAAAAGTAACTAGGATGAAGTTTTAATGTTATCCAAGGGTGTAGGTGAACCCTGAATTTAGTAGATAGATTACTCTGCTGATGCTTGTGTCTTGTGAGGTAAATCGCAATCTTGGAAAATATGGTCATGCAGGTACGTTTTCTTGTACAGCAGGCGTGCCTTTATATTTGCATATCAACATTGGTAGAAGGATAGTGTATATGCCATAAATTGTAAAACTAGAGCAAAACTAGAGCAATTATTAAGGGGTCGCTTGGTTCATAGAGAGGAAAGGGAATTACTTAAAGGGAAAGGAGAAGAATATAATGTAATTGTCTTTGATTTACAATGTTGTTTGTTTTAAACAAGAAAAGAAATAAAAGCCACCACATAACTACCATACAACCATCAACTTACTTCTCGTACCCTCCTTTTCTAGCCATTGTGAAAAGGAAATTTTGTCTAAAATCACACGTTAAAAGTCTTTTTTTTTTTGTCCAAAACCACCCACTTAAAAGTTTGGCCATTTTGTTGTCAATGACCACCTGACTCAACATTCCGACATTGGCCCTAAACTCTGGCGTTGATTTGGGTTATGTGACTTTTATAGACCAACCATCAAACTACATCATCGATATCACTGACCAGCCACTATCACAACCGCCAAATACCTTCGCGTGCCTTGAAATCCCAGATCACTACCTTGTACTCTTGCTGATTCCCCTAAAACAACCCATCAACCTTGTTATTGAAATAAATAATTAGGGATTATCGAAGGATGTTGTTACTATTTAATAATGGGTGCTAATAATTTCATAACTCAATGGCTAACAATGGAGCTCGGAGAAAATAGAGGAGAAGAAAGAATAGAGAGAGAAAAGAGAATGGAGGGAATGCAAAAATCAAAGGAAAAAAAAAAGAAAAAAAAAAAAAAGAAAGGGGTGAGGGGCTCATCATAAGTCACATGGTCAAGGTCAATGTCGGAGTTGAAGGTTAATGCCAGAATCTAGAGTCAGGTGGTTACTAACAACAACTCAAATTTAGGTGGTCTTGGAGGATAAATTTTTAAGAGAGTACTTTTAGATGAAAAAAAAAAAAATTTAGCAGGTGATTTTAGACAAAATTTCCTTGTGAAAATCTCACCACGTAGCCACCCTATTGCATCCCAAGGGCCACTCTTCCCCTAGCTTGGGGGGGGGGTTTGGGGGTTTTAGTGGTAGGGGGGAGGAAGGGGGTTTGGAGAAGGGGATGGTAGTTTGGGGGGACAGGGAAGGGGCGGTGGGGGGACATGGAAGGGGATTAGGGGTTTTACTGGTGGGTTTTTTTTTCGTGGGGGGGGGAGCGATGAAGGTGGTTTTGGGAAGGTGATGGTGGTTACGGGAGGGGTAGGGGAATGGGGGGGGGGGGTGGGGTTAGGGTAGAAGGGTGGTGGTGTGGTGGTTTAAGAAAAGAAATAGAAACATTAGGGAACTAGAGAAGGTAAAGCAAAAAGGAAAAAAGGTCAAACAAATAACATAAAAAAAAATAAGGGCAGTTGGTTTCCTTATAATTTGATGAATATCCCCAACCAAATAACCCATAAGAGTATATCCAAAGGTTAACTCAGGAGGAGGCCTTTTGGTCTATTAGGTCAAGAGTCAACTGGATTGCCTGTGGTGATAAAAATTCAAGTTTCTTCCATACTTCAGTTATCATCAGAAGAAGGAGAAATAAAATTGAAAATCTGAAATCTAAAGTGGATGAGCTAATCTTACCTGATCAGCTACTCTTATGTAGCATCTTACTTCCAGTCCCTATTCACCTCTCAGTCCCAAGACACTCTCTCAACCCCTCTACAATTCTCTGATTCTATCAAGATCTCTCATGCTCCAGAGCTGCATGAAACCCATGCTACTGTGTTTAGCTTAGGGAAGCTGAAAGCCCCTGGCTTAGATGGTTATCACCCAATGTTTTTCCAAGAGCATTGGGGTGAAATATGGGAGGATATCCATCAGTTTTCCATATCTTGCTTCTCTTCTCTATCCATACCCCATGAGGTCAACTCCACCTCCATCACCTTGATCCCAAAAGTGGAGCACCCAAAGACTGTCAAACAATATCGACCCATAAGCCTTTGCAACACCTCCTACAAAATCATCTCCAAAATCCTTGTTGCCAGAATTAGACCCTTCCTCCAATCAATAATCTCTCCTAACCAAAGCAGTTTCCTCCCTGGCAGAGGTTGTGAAAACAACTACATTGTTGCGAGTGAAATTCTACACTCCATGAGAAAAAAATCAGGTAAAAGAGCTTGGTTTGCTCTTAAACTTGACTTGGAAAAGGCTTACGATAGGCTTGAGTGGCCTTTTATAAGGACTTGTTTGGCAAGACAGGGTTTTGACAAGAATTCTGTGAATCTTCTTATGAGTGCAATCTCTTCTTCTTTTTTCCAAGTGATGGTTAATGGAAAACCAACTGAAAAATTCCATGCTTCCAGGGGTATCAGGCAGGGGGACCCCATTTCACCCTATATCTTCATTATTTGCATGGAATTTCTCTCCTCCTTAATTAATGAAGCTTGCACTTCTGGCTCTTGGGTTCCTTTCAATTTCAGGAAAAATGCTCTCTCAGTTTCTCACCTCATGTTTGCAGATGATGTCATTCTCTTTGGTGAAGCCTCTCATGAGACCTTTCTTTCTCTTTCTAACACCCTGGATTACTTCTTCTCTGTGTCGGGGAAGAAGATGAATACATCAAAGAGTCAACTGTACTTTTCAAAAAATTCTGATGCCCATATCATTGATTTTTTCACTTATTCCCTTCACATCCAAGAAACCAAATACCTAGGATTCTACTTGGGGTTTCCTCTATCTGACAAAAGACCTACCCTTTCCCAAGTTAACACTGTTATCTCAAAAATGAAAGCAAAACTATCTTCCTGGAAAGCCAAAAGTCTTTCAAAGGTTGGAAGAGCGGTGCTAATTCAAAGCTCACTTCTCTCTACCCCCCAATACCTTATGAGTACAATCTCTCTCCCAAAAAAGGTCTGCCAAGAGATTGATCAGGTTTGCTGTAGATTCTTTTGGGGTTCTGACCATGAAAAAAAGAAAATGCCTTTGATTGCCTGGAATTCTCTTTGTACTCCCAAGTCTACTGGTGGTTTAGGGCTTAGAGAATCTCACCTCCAAAATACCCTCTTGCTTACTAAGCTCTGTTGGAAACTTCACAACTTTGATAACCTGGCAGCTCAGATTATAAGGGAAAAATATTGTAGAAGAGAAGTTCCTTTAAGCTTTAAGTATGGCTCTCATATCTGGAGATCTATTGGGAAGGGTTGGGATCTTTTTGAAAAGTTTACTCAGTGGGTGGTGGGGAAAGGAAATCATTGCTCCCTATGGTTTGACAACTGGACAGGAAGAGGTACCTTGAGAGACCTTATTGCTAGCCCTATTCCTGAACATGAACTTCACCTGAAACTTCATTCAATCATTGATGGGGATGGGTGGAATACTGATAACCTGTCTGTGCAATTACCCCCTGACCTATCCTTATGGATCCATGCCATTCCCATCTTCCCTCTGTTGAGTGACTTCCCTTTCTGTTCCCTTGGAAAGGGCAAGTTTTTTGACTCTAAGAAAGCCTATGACTACCTGAAGCTCTTGAATGCTCCACCTTCAGATGATTCTGCCATCTGGAACCAAATTTGGGATCTCCAAATTCTCCCTGCAAACAAGTTTTTTCTCTGGAAAGTAGTCTGGGATAGAATTCCTACTTCCTCCCTCCTGAGTTCTAGGCATGTTCCTATACCCCCTTTCCGCGGTTTCTGCCCAAACCATCTTGAAACCACTCTTCATGTGCTTAGGGACTGTCCAAGAGCTAGAGAAATATGGAATTCTCTGCCTATCCCCCCTAATTTTTTCAATGTTTCTCCTCTCCTCTCGTGGCTCAGATTAAACTTAGCCATCTCTGATGTCCTTCACCCTTTCCCCTGCAACTGGAACATTGCCTTCTCCATAACTTGCTGGAAAATTTGGTTTTGAAGAAATAAATGGATTTTTGACAAAAGATCAATCCCAGCTGAGGGCTGGGTAAAGCAGTGCATCTGGTTTGCCCTTGAAACCACCTATCTCTCTCAATCTTTCTCAACAAACCAATCCAGCAGTGTCCTTGCTCATGTCTCTCTTTTTCCAGCATATGTTGTCTGTGTTGATGCTTCCTATAAGTTTAATTCTTTGTCTGCTGGTATTGGTTGTAGCTGTACAACCCCTGATGGATCATGGGTGGATGGGTTTGCTATTCACTCCCAAGCTACTAGCCCCCTTATTGCTGAGTCCTTAGCCATTCTAGCTGGTATTTATCTGATCAAGGTCAAAGGGTGGATAGATGTTACTATATGGTCTGATTGTCAAAGAGCTGTTTCAGGGATAAATGATCATGCTACCCCTTCTGATGAAACTAGTCACATTTATGCTACTTGCAGGGAGCTGATTCAGGAGCTTCAGGGATGCAAATTGATGAAGGTATCAAGAGAGAAGCTGAAAATTGTGGACCATCAAGCCAGGGCAGCTACAAGGACTCTTCCTAGATCAAGTCGTATCAATCACCCCAATGTGCAGTGGCTAGAATTTGGTGTTAAGCTAGAATTGACTCCCACCTTTTTGTTTCATGGTGTCTCGGAGGGTACTAATGTACATTTTGGCCCTGCGTGGCAAAACTAATACTTTATGTACTGGCATGTCCTATAACTCTTATCTGCTCTGTACTCAGAAAACTTATCTAGTATGTTAATCTAATTGCTCCCTTTAACAAAAAAAAAAGGTTAACTACAATCATTCTGGTCATTATTTATTTGATTTATTTTTCTATATTGTAATCATTTTATAATTAATCAATGCATAGTATCTCAATTCCCAATGGTTGCCCATAGATTTTTGGTTATTTATTTTATCTCTCCGGCTTTTACCCTACTCCACTACACAATCTCTCTCATAAATCATATAAATAGATAGATGATGTAAATATTGATAATCAGTCAAACAATTAAGTATACATTAACATTAGATAAAATGACTTATAATTAGAACATTAAAGCAATTCGGCATTGAATTAGAAAGTAATTAGTTGTTAATTAACAAATAAACAATTATTTAGGGGTTATTTTGTTATTACATTAAGTGGTTACTAACATG